CCAGCAATTTCACTCCTAAGTATCTGTCCAAAGAGTGCAACAATACTAATTTGAATGGAAACCTTAACTCTTATATTTTTAGCAGAACTATATAAAGTAGCCAAAATATGAAAACAATCTAAATGTCCCCAAACAGGTGAGTGTATTAAGAAGATGTGATACATATACACAATTGAATATTACTCAACAATCAAAAAGACCAACTTTTGCTTTGCATTCCATTTGCAGAAACAGGGATGAAACTGGAAGGGCTGATTCTACGTGAAGTAAGCCAGAGGAGAAATATCAGTACTGGATGTTTCCACCTAAATGTGGATTCTAGAGACAACAAAGGACCAGACAAAGCAATTGTCAAACTTGTCTGGAAGGTAGACCTTAGACACCATCTGCGCGATCGCTCCCTGGTGGCGCAGAGGGTTACAGTGCAGCACTAAGAAGCTAAAGCCACTTCCGCATGAGTTTGATCCCCGCCTGCCCGGGAGGAGATCCACAGGGCACGGCAGACCTCTCCTGACCCGCCCGCTGCTCTCCTCAGCAGTGTACTTCGTCGATCTGCCTGTTCTGCTCCCCACTCTGTCTCTGGTGAATCCTCTCACCCTCCGCATCTCTGGCCTGTACCCCAGTTCTGTATGAATAAATAAATAAATCTTTAAAAAAAATAGAGACCATTTATGCAAACTCATCCTATATCTCAATGTCTAATAAAAATGCTCAATTTATACTTCCCTCAGATCCACAACATTTCCCATTGAATACTCATTGCAGTTAAGGAGAAAACAAGATCTTAAGGAAAATTAAAAGAAGAAGAAACCTTTCCAACTTATGGTCAGGCCAGTGTTACACCTAAAAACCAGTGTCACTCAGGAGCAGAGGGCTGGACGACAGTAGGACTGGGGGGGAGCAGAGCTGAGGCGTGTGGGGGAGGAGTGTGGGCATTTTGCTGGGGGAGAAACGATGTTACCGATACGTGAAGTACAGTATTTTAAAAATAATTTTAAAAATGCAATGGACCATAGAGATGAGTTCATTTCTAACCTCTGAATTCCCTTCCACTAATATGTCCACTGTTTTGCAAAATCACAGCATTGTGTTTTCTGTAACTTTATAGTAAGACTTGATATCTTGTAGTGGGATACTTCCAATACTGCTCTTCTTTATTTAAGTCATATTAGCTGACAGGGGGTACACAAATACTCATCTAGAATGAGTTTGTCAATCCAAAAATAAAAGACTCAAATTTTTTTGGAATTTTGTCAAGTGTAAGTAGATTTTGGGATTGTTGACATCCTAATATTGAATCTGCCAATCTAAGAATATTTTATATCTCACTATTTATTTGCATCCTTCCTCCTAATTGTCTTAAATAGGTCTTGTTCATTTCAGTGTACAGATTTTATATGTACTTTGATAAATGTATTCATAATTATTTGTTGACACTATATATTAAGTTTAAATGAAATTACCAAATGTTAGCTGCTACTATTTAAAATGCACTTGAATCTAAACATACAATTCATTAAATTCACTCATTATTTGTTTAACAAGCATTTTCAACAAAATCTCATGCCACTGAGAACAGAAACAGCTTTCCTTATTCTTTTCTGCAGGATTTTGTTAGATGTTCTTTCTATATTTAAGGGAATTCACTTCATTCTTCATTTTCTGAGAGAGTTTTAAATCATAAATTTTGTAGAATCCTTTAATTTATTGTCTCATTGTTAAAACAACCTTTTATTAATTGAATATATGGTTGAACTAGATTTTAATGTTTTATTAAGAAATTTTAAGGCCCTCCCTTAAAATTTGCAGGTTAAAGTGCAGCATCGCAAGCTGGCAGCAGCCGCTTCAGAGCAGGTTCAATCCCTGCCCCGGAGGAGACCACATGGCGCGGCAGACCTCTTCTTTCTCACCTGCTGCTCCCCTCAGCAGTGTACTTCGTCAATCTGCCTGTTCTGCTCCCCGCTCTGTCTCATGACCCTGGCACTGAACCCCAGTTCTGTATACATAAATAAATAATATTTAAAAAAAAGAAGAAATTTTAGGCATACTGGTCTACCACCCCCCTGGCCATGTCTTTGTCTAGTCTTGGTTTTGAGATTCTGCTAGTCTGGTTAACTTGGAAGTTTCCCTTTTTTAATTTTCCTCAAGAATCCTTGTTTTTTCCTTAAGTTAACTAAATATTCATGAGTGAAATTTTGTGGATCTGAACGCTTCTTGATCAGAAGGTTTAAACTGATTATTTTTGTTGGATGTAAGTTGTCAAATGTTTTGAATTATATTTGTTCACAATACACTCTTTATTAAAAAAAAAGATTTATTTATTTATGCATACAGAATTGGGTACAGTCCAGAGGTGCAGGGGTGGTGAGAGACAGAGTGGGGAGCAGAACAGGCAGATGGATGAAGTACACTTTTGAGGGGAGCAGCGGGCGGTCAGGAGAGGTCTGCCACGCCATGTGGTCACCTCCAGGGCAGGCGGGGATCGAACACATGCGGAAGTGGCTTTAGCTTCTTAGTGCTGTGCTTTAACCCGCTGCCACCAGGGAGGGCCCCACAACACACTCTTTTAATGTCCATGGAATCTGTAGTGATGACTCCTCCACTGTTCCAAATCTTTTTATTTCCAAATGTTTTATTTTTTCTTATTAGTTGGGCTACAGGCTTTTCAGTGATTTTTTTTCTAAATAAATAGATTTTGACTTTGCAAAATTTCTCTAGGATTATTTGATTATTTCAGTGATATTTTCTTCTTTTGTTGTTTCTGTCTAATGTAAGAACTTACACTCTATATATCTTTATACTCAGTGTTATTGTCTTCCACACATGCTGATATTTATATATTTTTTAGCTTTCAGTCCAGAATATCTGTGCCTAGCCTTTGTGACTTTAGTACTGCCCTCTGAGAAGTATCATTTGGAACAGGTTGATTCCCAAGTATGCAGTTTTCTAGGTAACATATCTACTAATTTCCAATTTAAATCATTTATAAAGAACATTCTCTCTATGACGTCAATCCTTTTCCATTTATTTACATGTTAATTTATTTACACTTATTTAACATTTAATATACTTAGTAACACTTATTAACATTTAATAATACTCATTAACACTTAATTAAGTTAAGCATTAATTTGCTGACACTTGTTCTTGCAGGATTGAAGTTATCTACCTATGTGTGTTTTTCCCACTGGATTTCCGATTCTTCCAGACCAAGGCTTTGCCTCAGGCCTCTTTGTGTCCTTTGGTGCAGACACAAAACTCCTGCCTATCTTCCTCCAATGCTTGTCGGTGGTTAGAGTATTTTAACTTATCAAAAAAAAAAAAAATCTGAGGAACGTAAGATACAACCACCGTTGGGGACGGTGTCTGTTTACCAGCAACTACAAAGACCGAAGTGCACGTCCAGGGAGCAACCCCGTGTGCCAGCTTCCCGCAGGCAGGACGCCTGATCAGGAATCCCCGGGGGCGTACAAAGTGCTCTTCTTTCAAGATTTCACTCAAGAACTAAAGGACACACACTCGCGTTTCACAACCTCTCAGTTCCTCATTCAATCGAGTTTACAATTTCCCCCCAAATCATAATCACAATCAGTAAGACATTAGGTTTCAAATAATTTTTCCTGCAGTCAGAACAAGCTCCCTCCTTGATAATCTGGCTCAAGTCATCTTCAAAAGAGACACGTGATACAATATTAGAAAGTCCGCATATTCCATGAGCTAGCAAGTAGCTGGACCAGAACCTAAACTTGGATTCCCTGAGAGCGACTGCGTTAACTTAGAGAACAGCACACGGAGAATCGTGGAACTCCAGGTTCAAGCTCTCTGATACAGATTCCAATATACTGAACGATCGCTAGCTGGCTCCTTGCGTAATGGGAGGGTCAGTGCGTTATTGTCGGATCATCTATTTTTGAAGCATGCTTGCATTTCTAGAGCCGTGCTGGTCTTACAGCAGACGGAGCAGAGACACAGAGATTTCCCCTGGAGGTCCTGTCGCACACGCGAAGGCCTCCCTATTATGAACATCCCCGCCAGAGTGGTGCGATTGTCACAGCTGATGAATCCGCCTTGACACATCATAATCAGCCAGAGTCCACAGTTTCCATTAAAGCTCACTGTTGGTGAGGTACTTGCTGTCGGCTGGACAAATGGATGCTGACATGTGTCCACCACTGTGGCTACACAGGGGATCCACTGTCCCCCCCTCCCTGGGCTCTGTCTACCCATCAGCCCTCCTCAGCCAGAGTCTGGCAAGAATTATATTTTAAAATAAAGGGAAATCAGTACTACGGGTCACACACAGCACATTGCTCAAATCCACTACCACAATGATGCAGGGTAACACTCTGTATCTATGTCTCTGTGATGAGAAATCAGATCTGGCTCCTTGTTTTCAGGTAGCCTGCCAATTATGTCTGCAGATCCTGAATTCACCAGGTTACTATAAAGTGTTTCCCTGGGGGTTGATGTTTCCCCAAAGATAACTTTAAATTGTCCATTTTTACCATTCTGAGGTTACTATATATTTTTTTTTAATCTACGTTCCATTCTTAGGAAACTTCTATTTCAGTCATAGCATCTATAACCTGCTCGCCACAAGGGCTGTCAGCAAGGAGCCACCCATGCACCCCCGTGTCACCAGCCCCACAAAGGGCAGCTTCCAGGTTCAGCTCTCCAAGATCGTCCCCAGTTTCAATCATAGTAGCAAATGCACCAGTAACCTCAACAGGGAGAAATGCTTACTCAGCGCTTTGGAAAATGATCCGGTTGAATTATGAGTCACTTCATTTTGCAAAGAAGCAATAAAAAATGAGTCATTTTGCAGAGGTACCACTAGCATGTGTAGCGGATGATTAAAATAAAGGGGAAAATAACTTTTACATTTTGTCAAAGCAGGGACACCATCCCAGGCTGGCATTTTGCCTCTGCTGGTTTCATCTATCAAAAGAAACATCTTCCCAGGCTCTGGTTACTTCCCAGGGAGTCCAGAGGCTCCTTACCTTATGGAAGTTTCTGAAATACGCAGCCTTCTCATCTGGAAACTTCTCCAGCCTTCTGGGTCCTTTACTAGACGCTTTCTTGAAAACCAACCAGCATCGTCTGAAAATCTGAAAGCAAATAAAGCATCCTATTATCTTTCATGTCACATGACTACTTCTGTAGCATCGGGAACTTATCAATTCAATCGATACATTGGGAATCAATCTTTGTAAATGCATTCTCTCACACACAGCATTTTCTGGGTCACACATATGTTATTCATTAGAATCTAAGCAAGTTTTAGAAAGACACTATTCAACACAAATTGCTTGTCAATACCTTTTATGGTAGGAAGTTTTCCAAGTGCCCACTTCAATCCTCTTTAAACTAACTAAATTATCTGAGTGTTAATGTCATGCAATTAATTTATTCTTGGGCCTCCTGGTGGTACAAGGGGGTTAAGTCTCAGCATTATGAAGCTATAGGCAGCCGCTGCAGCACAAGTTCAATTCCCGGCCAGGCAGTGACCCACCTGGCATAGCACACCTCTCCTGTCTCCCCGCTGCTCCCCTCAGCAGTGTGTTTCAGCAGGTCCACCTGTTCTGCTCCCCACTCTGTCTCTGGGGGATCCTTTCACCCCTTGCCCCTGACCTATCCCCCAGTACTTGAATGCACAAATAAGCTTTAAAATATATATATTTATTCTCACCCTACAGAAAAACTCCACAAATTCTTTTTTCTCATGGCAATAGTTCTTATTTTCCATGAGAATGCAGTCACAATTGACTAAAATTAAACACCTTCACAACATTCACTTTCCTTTCTTTGTAGAAACACTGCAAATTAGAAAGTATTCCACTTCAAAATGGGTTAAATTAAAAAATCATGGTACCCTGAAGAATTAAAAAACAAACCACTATTAATTCAGAATGCAGACATATTTTTGCTATGGACACATCTGCCTCGCCTTTTCTAGTCTCACATGCTCCACATTTGAAAAGTTAAAACATTTAATCCTCCTCTACTGAAAGCAGAGCAGCTCCACGGAGGGCCAGCCACAGGGTCAGCAGTGGGAGCTGCCCACCTTTGTCTGGCCCCTTCAGCTTCGCAGACAGAGCAGCGAAACCGCGTGGCGCTCTCAAGCCTGAACATCCCGTCATTCTGCACGTCGCTGAATAGCACTCGGTCCCAGCTAGCAGATGGGCTGGCATCTCAGACCACCCGTCTCACCCCTACAGGAGCGCTGTAAGGTAATTAACGGGTCTCCTTTCCAGTAATTAAGAAGTCTAGCAAGGCAAACTGGCCCAGCTTCTAAATCTCAACGTCCGCCTGTGCGCTTCAGCTTGTGCAATCTCTATAGCCATCAAGAATTCATAGAAACTTCAGGAACATCGATCCCCGTATTTGTCTCTTCTTTCTGTATTTAAATTTCAGAGCTTAAGCCAGGTAATGGAATTCCTCGGGCGTGTGCACTGTTACTCGCCAGCAGACAATGCTTCTTCTCGTGCTGAATGGCACTTTTCGGACCTTCACACAAAGCTTCTCATGGAAGCAGAAATGAGCAGAGCAACAAAGCAAACAGCTTTGGTTGCTCTGCAAATCCCAGGAGCTCCGCGCAACCGTCCCTCCACCACCCTCCACCCGGGAGCAGAGGCTCAGCTGCCTGGGGCTTCCTTACCAGGCTCCTGGAGCAAGGGGTGCCAGGGTCCTGGAGACCCCCCTGCACCTGCCTTGGGGACCCCCCTGCACCTGCCCTGGGGACCCCCCTGCACCTGCCCTGGGGTACTGTTTCTCTCCCTTCCTGCTCTCCAGCACCAAAGTAAATGATAATATGTCCGTAGATAATGTAGCTCAGTTCTGTCTGGGTTTATCTAACGTGAACAGCTGTGCCTTTTAAACATAGATGGGTATTTTAAGTGATAACTGATCTAGAAGGAATGCATGAGATGATTTGGAATATGGGGCATTTATAAAGCTTTGGTCAGTTTGCAACCTCACGAGTGCCCCTCTCCCCCCATCACACACACACTCACACAGAGGGCAAGGAAAGACCAGAAGATGGACAGGCCCTCCCACGGGAGGGTGAACACGCAAGAGAACTTACAAGCCGCACTTAACTTGGGCACGTCAGAACAAGTAGAACTCCACACACTCCCACAGAAAATGAAGTTTACACTGTGACACTAACAGGGTCCAGTTTCAGATGATCTGAGTGTTCCCGCCAACATGCTGCCGTCCCGAGGTCATGTCCATAAAAGAAATACTGAGCAGAGGGTGGAAGGTCTTGTATGTTCCAAGAACACTGGGGAGGTGGGTATCTCTCATTGCCCAGCTTAAGCTCTGGGTCCTCTCAGACACACACACAACACCGCCCCTGCCAACGCTTTGGAACCAGACTCGGTTTACGTGATGGCCATGATGAAAATGCACTAACTGTGCAAATGCAGACGCATCATTAAATGTCTCCACTAATAAATAAGGGTGCCTCACAGAATGGGGAGTGAAGGAAGACGACCAGCCTCCGTTGGGGGCACAGAAGGCCCTTAACGATGGACAGTCGCTGCTCAGGCCCTTCTTCTTGGAGAAGGTCCCCATGCCAGGGCATGTTTTATCTCATGACATGTGATTCTCCCAAATGTGCAGATCCAGAATATTCTGCACCCAGAGCATTTAGAGTGCCCTACATATTCATTTAACTGAAGATACAGCCAAAGTCTCTCAGACATAGACTGGACTTGCAATTCCAGCTCAGCCTCTTGTGAACCGTGGGAGCGGTTGAAGTCGGTGAAACTTCTGAGCTCGTATCTTATCCTAGCTTGGGGGAAATAATGCCTGTATTAGAGGATTACTGTGACTGTGAAGAGAAATGAAATACTCAGAGCTACTGCCACAGTTTCTCACAGAGGAGACGCTGCTGCTGACAGACAACGCAGGCAAGGCTCAGCGCTGAGCGGCACGGCCTACATGACCACGGCCATGGTCGGCATTTGCAAATACTGAAAAATCAGTTAGCTATCAATATCACTTTAAAGGCTTCAGACAACCCCAATAATTATAGGAATTGTGAGGTGTGTACAGACATATACATGCCAATAGACAAAGCTGCCGAAATATTCTGTTGACCACAATTTAGCTTCTATCTTGCTTCATAGTGGCTTGGATACTATTAATCAATATGGCTATTTACAGTTATCAATACGTATCTGAAAAAAATTTACATCAAATTTGTTCTCTTAAAGTGACTTTTTTCACAATATAACTACTCATTTTTGCACAAGCTAGATCATTTCACTCAATCTTTAATATCAGTCATACATGTGTGCTTGATGATAAGGGTATTGTGTTGTAGGGCCTAAGAATATAGCTTTTTAGTCAGACCAATTTTATATTCACCGTAGAGCCTGTTATTTATTAAATGTCTTGTCTCGATGAAGTTTTAACTTCTCTAAAATCTAACTCTGGCATCTAGAAATTAAGGTCAACATGCCTGAGGAAGTTGCTATTTGAGGATTTAATCAGATGGGCTGCAGAAAGGATATGTGTTCGAAGCATATTCGATAGTCTGACCTGAAACTCCTGTGCTGTGGGTACTGGCATGGACTGACCTGTGTTCCTCTCGTCACAGCTAGTTCCTTGCCCCCAACAGGATGAGACTTAGGTGTGGGGGTGACAGCACTCACCAGAGACAGAGTGGGGAGCAGAAAAGGCACATGGACTGAAATACACTGCTGAGGGGAGCAGCGGGGAGACAGGAGAGGTCTGCTGCACCTTGGTGATGGAACTCTAGCTGCAGTGGCTGCTGATAGCTTCATAGTGCTGAGACTTAACTCCTTGTGCTACTAGGGAGGCCCACAGGTATATTTTTAAAATATATTTGTAAAGTAAGATGTATGCAGATGATCAATATTTACTTTCTTGTTGTTTATGAGTGGATTTCAAATCGCAGCTGTGGAAGGAATGGAAGGGGCACCGGCTCCTGGCAACGTGCTTCTGTTCTTGCCCACGGAGGAACCATTTCCCCTGAACCTTCCAACTTGGTGCTTACAGCTTGGGAACCATAATGATGTCAAGCATATTCTTGTCCTATTAATGGAAATGTACCTTTGCGCACACCCACCCCTGAAACACCCATCTTGTGTGACTGAAGTTATTTTCTATTCAAGAGCAAGTTAGTCCTGGGTCAGAAAACATAGGGTTCCCATTTGGCACTCAGCATTGCTATAAAATAAACTTGATAACAGACAATAAGGACAAAGGGATACAATTTCAACAGAAACTTACCTCTTTGCTACATTAACAAGGGGAAGCACCTACAGATAAAGCTGACTGCTGAAGGTGGGCTGTAGTAGACTGAGGATCTTTGCTTATTATTTTCTAACTTTGGAAAATATTTTCTTCTATGGTGTCTCAGATCACTAAAGGAAGTTTCTGGACTCCCTACCACTCTGTGGCCTTTCAGGTTTGACAACTCTTAAAATCAGGAATTGCACCAAGTTTCTAACCCCAAATCTTACTGATCATGCCAAGTGCACCAGGTCAATGTCTCGCAATGGGACTGGCACCTCAGGTCTGACTTTTGGTTAAGGGAAGCCTTGCGAAAGGGTCTTAGCTAAGTAGCATAATTATGGCTGTGAACTAAAGCCAAGAAATCTGCCATCTACTTCAGAGCAAGTCTTACAGGCAAAAGGATGTCCTTTGTGTAAAATCACCTTGAAAGAGAAAAAATGCAAAGGAAAAGGGATTGCTTTGAGGTAAAAAGGCTTTCATCAGATAGAAGGGAATTAAAAAGCTACTTAATGACGGCGAGTTGGCTGATTGACTAATGCTGTGCAGCGCTGAGATACTGCAGGATTCTGGAATCCTGGCAACAAATGTTGTTTTCTAGAAAGAAAACCCGACGGGATGGTGGAGCCTGAGTGGCGAGATCTCTGGCTGGTTTAGGAGGGAACCTAACCGGCAGGTGAGTCGCGAGGTAGGGAGCGAGCGCCTTGAAGAGAGATGACGCAGCAGGCGGCCTGGACTCCGAGACCGGCCTTGGCCAGGGTCAGTGCCTGGCCAGCCTAACCGTCTTTGCGTCCTTCTAAGCCCTTGGGGGGCCGAGAGATGAGCAAGTACTACCATGAAAGTC